TTTTTTTTTTTTTTTTTTTTTTTTTTTTTTTTTTTTTTTTTTTTTTTTCATGTTGTTCTATTGTCCATGGGTAGCTGATCCCTATAGACCATTCGACTTGCGACCACCTCTAGTTGACATTCTACTTTCTCGATCAGACGAACTTAGTCGGGAAGAATTGGTGGAGCGGATTAAAGAAGTCGCGCCGGGGTATTTGGAGGCCGAAGAGGAAGGGGATGGATTTGCTGGCGAGTATGATATTGGTCAAATTGAGTTTGAACCATGATCAGTCTAGTGTTTTTATGTAGTTTTGCAATGAAATTGAAGGATGAATTAGCTTCCTCATTCAGTTAGACTGAATCTTGAGTTGAAATTGCATAGCCTAAGTTATGCACACAATAGCCGAGTTTGTCAATATGCAAGATCCAGGTGATAAACAAGGCGCTTAATATGGCAATATAGGAAATATATTAACACCAGCCTAAGCAAGGCTAGGTCTAGACTATTATACGGCATCGACCTGGACAGGAGAGATCGTATTAACAATATATAAGTTATCAAGGTATATGTGATGACTCATTTATGGCAGTTCATATATGACGGCTCAACATTGCAGCAATGAATGATACATTGCAAATGCTGCTACTCAGCCATGTCGCCAACAACCTCTATAAAACCCCTTCATTATCTAGATAGATTCCCGCTTCTCTTTTCTTCTCCAGATTCAATATTCTCGTTGATGGTTACAATAGTCTAGATAGAAATAATGTTTTATTATTATCTACTATTCCGAGCCCATGGCAATGGGTACTGCATGAGTGTACTCTCAAATTTGTTATTGTCAGGATATAAGCGCGACTCCTGCACCAAAGCCAAAGTGCATCGATGTCACTAATGATGAAACTGGAAGTACGTTTAGTAAATTATTTGCAAGGGAGCGGGCAGACTTGCAGTGTCTGTTCAAGATGCAAAAAAAGGACACATCGTTATGCCCACCCCGACTATAGTTGTACCGATTGTACGTAACCGAAATCCCGAAAGAGTATTACAGGCGGTGTAGAACTGAATTGGTAGTTTGTTGTAATATTCATACAACAATGTAATCGACTCGCTCAAAATTTTGCTATTGACAATAGTAACATCTTTGCAGAGGGAAAGGACACTATAACTTTGAGTTCCTCTCCGCCGCCAAAACATTCCAGATCGGATCATTTGCCCCAGTGTCATCTCTCTTGGGCATATACCCCTGCTTCGGATTCTTCGGGTTATAGCCCGGGGGGGTGATAAAATAAGTTGGGATTTTCCGCCCTCCAAGCGCCGAGATCTCGTAGACTGTTCCGCCCTTGTAGTTCCCACTCTCGATTAACTCCAGCCCTGCGTCTGCTGCTGCCCGCGCTGAAATCGCAAGTTTGGGATGGTATCCGAATTGTTTCTTGAGGGTTGGCTTAGTGTTCCAGAGCGGTGTGTCAACAATTCTTAGCAGTCAGTACGTCATATTCAGATATATCGATAGCAAATGAAGGGCGCCTACCCCGGGCAGATGGTAACCACCTTGACGCCTTCGTGGCTATCCAGTTGGCCGACCGAGCGTGTGAACCCAACCAAAGCATGCTTGGTTGTGCAGTACATTGTCGCTCCAAAGTTCCCCTGGTATCCTGCCATCGAGCACATAATCAGAACGATGCCCTTCTTGTTCCGCGAAATTAGAGCCCGTAATGCGATCCGCGTGAGTTTTAGAGGGTGATTGACGTTGATTTGAACAGAGCCGTAAGACTCCGTCTCTGTGTCGTCCCAGAAATTCGACCAGGTCTATGCATCATCAGTTTGAAGTTCTGGTCGAAGGTACGAGTGCTGGATAGCTATACCGGCTCAAACACCGCAGCGCCGGCGACGTAAACGTCAGGAACATCACCGAGCAGATCCTTAGAAACGGTAACGATATTCTCTAGCTCCGGCCACTTGGCGACATCCGTCTTGAGGTAAATCACGGTCTTCCCGTCGACGAGGGACTCGGCTTCTGGAGTGAGCCGCAAGTCGGCTATGAGGACTTTGGCGCCTTTCGCGAGTACCAACTTGGCAAGTTCGAGGCTAATTCCTGATTACTGTCAGCCGTTGCCGGCGTGGCTCATACCCAGGTTAAAGGACATCTTATACCAGAACCTCCGCCAGTGATGGCAACTATCTTCCCGCTCACGTCAAAGTCAGCGACTGGGCCTTGGGCCATGTTGACGTTTGATTAGAGGTGGGTACAGATTAAGTTCTCGAGTACAATAATAGGGGGCATTAAGGAGCACCGTTGAATCCGGGGGAAGAAACCCGCAAGGACATCAAGTGGATCAACGTGGACCTTGAAGCGGGGTCTCTCGGATCGTAGCTCAAAAGGGAAATCGGGAGTCGATTATTCCGGACTAATGAGGTCTATATGGAGAGGACTAACTTGACAAAAGATGTATATTGCCTAACGAACGTACATGCGCGTACACAGCTGATTGAGTGCTTAATCTACAATATGTGTGCACACGCCGACTATTAGAATCTCCTGGCCTCGCTATTCGGGCCAACAATTTATCCGATCAATCCTGATGAAAGTCGAGGTGGATCAATAGTTTGTCCGATTACCGAGGCCGACAGATCCCTCATATACGGACACACACACTCGTTTAGATAGCCAAGCACTCATTCTACCATCTACGGTGTCTATAGATATCATTGTCACCCTCCGTGTAATCTAAGTTTCTTCTTCATATATAGCCTCGTGCAGTCCGGATAATCGACTCCCCGACTTCCCCGACTCGGAGTTAACCGCCTTATTGGTTTATCCGTTTCAAATCCTTATCAGATATTTCTTCCTGCTGAAGCCGATCCTATCGCAGCTCTTCGAGCTGCGTCTTGTCTATGTACCTGTAGATAGCCTGACCTGTAGCCTGACCTGTAGCCTGACCTGTTCGCCAATTCCTAATATATCTGTACCTGACCCTGCACTCTGACACCTTGAGGGTTGTCACAGAACTCTCGGACTATAATTCATTTACGCCGGAGAAAGATCCTCGGATGCAGCACGCTGACACATATTATATGATCAGCTGGCTTCGAGCACCAATCAAATGGCGTCCTCATACAGCCTCACTCATCTTGGGCGCTTTTCCTTTTCCCCCTCCAGCTGAAGCATTTCCTTTCCAATTCATCCTCAGTCCTCCCGTCTATCTTGCGACACCGAGACTTGACCCAGCCGGGAGAAATTTGAAGTAAGTATCGAATCCAACCAAGACAACGTGAAAGCACCGGCACATCTACTGCTTTAATGAATGACCTGAGCAACAAGACACGGACTCAACGGACTCCTACACGGTAGCATGGATCTGTGCGTTAGAAGAAGAGTATGTATGTGCCTGCCATATGCTTGACGAAGAATTCACTGGACCGGAAATAAGCGAGGACAACGATGATAACACATACGTCTTCGGTTGTATTGCGAAGCATTATGTGGTGATTGGGTGTCTTCCAGCTGGTCGGTATGGCACCAATTCAGCTAGTCGTGTTGCCCGAGATAAGGTCCGAACCTTTCCACGTCTGCGGTTCGCATTAATGGTGGTCATCGGAGGCGGCGCACCAAGTATCCGAAATGACATATGACTGGGTGATATTGTTGTCAGTCAACCAAAAGATGGATTCGGCGGGGTGATTCAATATGATTTAGGCAAGTTGAAAGGTGGCCGGTTTCAGAAGACAGGTCAACTAAATGCGCCGCCTGAGAAGCTTCTAGGAGTCATTCCTGAGATGCGCAGATTGTACAGCGATAGAAAGAAGCCAGACAGACTGGCGGAACATCTTCGGCTTCTTGACGATATGGAAGATTACCAAAAGCCAGCCGTTGACCGGCTTTATGCTTCAGACTATTCACATGTGGATGGACAAAATTGTGACAAATGTGGCTTGCACTCGGTAGTGCACCACCCAGAGCGCCAGAACCACCATACGCTCTATGTTCACTACGGAAATATTGCGTCAGGGAACTCTGTACTCAAGGACGCCAATGTGCGGGATAGACCTGGCCTGGCTAGACCTCGCCCTCACCCGCGGGTGACCCTATGAGGGTGAGGGTCGTACCCTCATTTTGAGGGTTGAGGGTCTGACTCTTTCACCTGCAGTGAGGGTCCGGGTCAGGTCTTGCCCTCGTGAGGGTGACCCGCGGGTAACCCATGGGTGATCAAACAAGACAAACAATAGAAACTTGTCGCCTGCATAATTTATGCAAATCCTGGCTGTAATTTCAAGTATTTCATTTACCATTAACTACATCACAAATCCACCATAGACAGAGAATTTCCGGGCTTGATCTTAATCGGATGGAATGACTTCATTTTTAGATTAAGGCTTAGCTACAGAACTATTCTTATTGAACCTCATATCCTTCAAGAAGTCTTGGGCGTTTCCGAACTCTCCCTGACAGGCGCTGTTGTGTGTCAGGGAGTGGAAGAGTAGGTTCATCATCCTCATTTTCATGGCCTGTTTCTGGTATAGACACATTTCTCCTTTGTTTCTTCCCCTGGCTTTTTCCACTCAGTGCTTGGCCAATTGGCTGTGTCTGGATAGAATTCTCCTCATCATCTTCCTCACGGTCACTAATTGGATCAAATTCATCTGTCACAACCTGGCTTCTCTCGTATTGTACCTAGGGTAGGCCTGGACATTGTCCTTGGGTATACCCATTTGGGTATACCCTTGGGTAGACCCAAGTGGTTCTTGGGTATGAATCTCTTACCCAAGTGTTGGGTATGGGTATAAGGTAGGCTGACCGTTTGAGATGATATCTCAATCTCAAATCTCATCTCATCTCAGAAAAACTGAGATTGAGATGAGATTGAGATGAGATTGAGATCTGGGAAAAATTTTTGATATGAGACTGAGATATCAAAATTCTTGTATGAGATGAGATTGAGATTTGATATATATATTTGAGATGAGATTGAGATGAAATATATGATTTTGAGATGAGATTGAGATCTGAGATGAGATTTTGAGATCTCATTTTAGATAAGAAAGATAAGATATGGAGATAAGATATGATACCATGACTCATCTTAGCAGAATTTTCACCTTAAGTTTCAAAAATAGCCTTTCAAGCTACAACCCTACATCTATGGAGTTATTATGGCTGATTTACCATTGACTTCATCTTTCATAGAGGATGCAAATGAGGCTGAATCTCAATCTCAGAACCTCAGTCTCTTTTCAGAATCTCAGTTTTCTTATTTATCTTCCTCTCCACCTCTATTATCACAATCATTGTCCTCTCATCCAAC